TATTTACATAGTGCCAGTTAATAACACATGTAATCTGAGAGCTTTTTAAGTCAATTTGATCAAATATTACAGACAGATTGGTTAAAAAGTCTTCCATCTAAGGAAAAGGAATCATTGACTTTGGGAATTCACTCCTTCTTTATGAGGATGTGGCTAATGGACAGTCACTTGCACCGGTTTGTTGACTTTTCAGCAATCCATCATACTGAGCATGCATGTAGTGACAGTGGAGAGGAAAACTGCCCTTTTTGAAGATTGCAATCTCTAGTATAACCAGGTCCAGTGTCAGCTACTGTATATAGGAGTGTATGATATGGGAACACTTTCTATGCAAGAAAAGTAAGAGGTTAATATCAGTAGTACCTCCTTTGATGGTGCAATCTAAACGAAAAACAGAGGTAAGCAGATAAACTTCGAGCCAATAGTCAAGCATAGAAGGTAAAACACATACAGCTGAACCAACAGTTATAGGGATGAGACATATGTACAGTAACCACTAAAAGACAGGCCCAAGTGTATCACATATAGATGTTGAAGATAATATAACTGGCGGCAGCAGTCCAGCATACATGCCCCTCCAACACTATGTCACAGCTAATCAGAATGCCAAGCCAGGATTCAGATTTCCAGATTTTCCTTTACACTAAAAGTCTAACTACTACATTATTTCTGAATAATATTTCAGTCGTAATTAGAAATAACTTATACACTTGCTGTGAAAAAAATTCTGATGTGTATCCTGTAGCAACCATATTTACCGCCTGGGAAAAGTGGAGGAAATTCTGTTCAAATGGATGCTTACAGATAGCCCTTTCCATGCTTTGTCACCAATCTTTGTTTGTGGTTTTGGATAAGATGTGTTGCTTTTTGACATCTTTCTGTCTAATTCCAATTCTCAGTAAGACTCTTTTTAAGTGGAGATTGAAATCTAAAGGTCTGTCAGGTATCGAATGTAGGTTGGGCATGGGAAATTGAACACAACATTCTAACAAATACAGTTAACCACAGCTGATGGTTTAATAAAACAGGTTGGGTATTGATATTCTGTTCCCACATATTGTTTCAGATATTTTTTAAACCCCCAAATCATCAAAAGGGCTTTTTTAAAGTTGCTATAATTATCTGTTAAAGCTGAACTATATATATTTTTTTCTATTTAAATTATCCTCCTTTTTTAAGGTGTTTCCAATTGTATCTCTCATTTTGCTGGCCCTCTGTTATCTACCTGGAGTCATAGCTGGCTTCCTTCAGCTCTACAGAGGAACAAAATACAAGTCAGTAAAAGACACTGGCCAACAAATAAACCCACTACAACGAGAGACAGCTTATGTAACGCCAAAATATTTGTTTTAGGCGTTTCCCTGATTGGTTGGATCGCTGGATGTTGTGCAGGAAACAGCTGGGTCTGATAGCTCTAGCACTTGCTTCCCTACATGTGCTGTATACTCTAATCATCCCCATAAGGTGAGTAACAGTGATGCTGGAAACATCTCCCAGTTAAGTAAATTAGAAAGTCCTTGTAATTAGTTAGCTTTTCAGTACATTTTATTTCAAGAGGTTTCATCCATCTCTAAAACTGGCCAAAATCTGTTTTGGATATTTTAATAGTAGCTCCCAAAACATACAACTTATTTTTGCTACGTTCACACAGAATGCAGTTTGAGCAGAAAATAAGTGTCTGCTGCTTCCTCTTTGATGCTTGTGCACATTAAAGTCAGATGAGCCTCACAAGCATCAAAGATGCTCTTGATGAACGTCAGGAAAAGTGAGTACTAATGCATCTGATGCTTGTGCTGCTCGCTCTTTTCAGTGACAGAGTGGTTTGTTAGGCTGTAATTGCTGTGATAAGTTGGTAAAAAGTAGTTTTAATAGGTTTTTAATATACACCTAAAGTTTACAATCCTGCCTCAAAATATTATTTCGCTGTCAGAGCCTCCCAGACCCTTACAGCAGCCTGGAGCCGGCACCTCTTAAGGATTTTTCCCTACTATTTGCGGCAGCAGGAAATAGATGTTAGCATATTTTAGGTATATTGAAGAAACTGCAGGTAAAAGAATAATAAAAGGGAATATAATCTGCTAGTAGGTTTAGGCTAATTTATGCATTAATAAACTGTTGCGGTAGAGTAATCATAGCACTCACTTTTCTTTGTACATTTATGTTCCCTGCCTTCCATGTAAACTGAGTAGAGTTTTATCCCATTTTATGTATGTAAATATATTAGGGATGCACGATATTGGGATTTTGGCCGATGTCCGATATTTTAAAACTCATGTAGCCAATAACCGATATCGATACT